GCCACCCACCACCTTAGTCTACCATCAGCCACCCACCACCTTAGTCTACCATCAGCCACCCACCACCTTAGTCTACCATCAGCCACCCACCTCCTTAGTCTACCATCTGCCACCCACCACCTTAGTCTACCATCTGCCACCCACCACCTTAGTCTACCATCTGCCACCCACCACCTTAGTCTACCATCTGCCACCCACCACCTTAGTCTACCATCTGCCACCCACCACCTTACCTTGAGGCTACCTTGAGGTGCTTCCGGGGCTCAGTGTCCCCGCGGCCTGGTCGTCGACCAGGCCTCCTGGTTGCTGGACTGATCAACCAGGCTGTTAGACGCGGCTGCTCGCAGCCTGACGTATGAGTCACAGCCTGGTTGATCAGGTATCCTTTGGAGGTGCTTATCCAGTTCTCTCTTAAACACTGTGAGGGGTTTGCCAGTTATGCCCCTTATGTGTAGTGGAAGCGTGTTGAACAGTCTCGGGCCTCTGATGTTGATAGAGTTCTCTCTCAGAGTACCTGTTGCACCTCTGCTTTTCAACGGGGGTATTCTGCACATCCTGCCATGTCTTCTGGTCTCATGTGGTGTTATTTCTGTGTGCAGGTTTGGGACCAGCCCCTCAATTATTTTCCACGTGTAAATTATTATGTATCTCTCCCGCCTGCGCTCAAGGGAGTACAGATTTAGGCTCTTTAGTCGGTCCCAGTAACTTAGATGTTTTACTGAGTGGATTCTAGCAGTAAAGGATCTCTGCACGCTCTCTAGGTCAGCAATTTCTCCAGCTTTGAAAGGGGCTGTCATTGTGCAGCAGTACTCCACTCTAGAGAGCACAAGCGTTTTGAAAAGTATCATCATCGGTATAGCATCTCTAGTGTGAAAAGTTCTTGTTATCCAACCTGTCATTTTTCTTGCAGTTGCGACGGCTACTTTATTGTGTTCTTTAAAGGTAAGGTCTTCCGACATGAGTACACCCAGGTCCTTTACATTGCCTTTTCGTTCTATGTTATGATTTGCCTGCGTTTTGTACGTGGTTTCTGTTTTTATATTTTCAATTTTTCCGTAGCGCATGAGCTGAAACTTATCCTCGTTGAATACCATATTATTTTCTGTAGCCCATAGAAAGACCTGATCTACATCTGATTGGAGGTTTGCCGTGTCCTCTATGTTGCCAACTCTCATGAAAATCCTAGTGTCATCTGCAAAGGATGATACAGTGCTATAGGTTGTGTTCTGATCTATGTCCGATATGAGGATGAGAAAAAGTACTGGAGCAAGCACAGTACCCTGGGGGACTGAGCTCTTCACGGTTGATGGGCTGGATTTTATTTTGTTGACTATTACACATTGGGTTCTGTCAGTCAGGAAATTGTAGATCCATCTGCCTATTTTCCCGGTAATTCCTTTTGAACGCATTTTATGTGCAATAACACCATGGTCACATTTATCAAAAGCTTTTGCGAAATCTGTGTAAATTACATCAGCGTTTTGTTTGTCTTCCATAGCATCTAATGCCATATCATAGTGGTCCAGCAACTGCGACAGGCAAGAGCGCCCTGTTCTGAAACCATGTTGTCCGGGGTTATGGAGATGCTGTGATTCCATGTATTTTGTGATCTCACTTCTTAGCACTCTCTCAAAAATTTTTATGATGTGCGATGTTAGTGCTATCGGTCTGTAATTTTTTGCCTCTGCCTTATTTCCTCCTTTATGGAGTGGTGCTATCTCTGCTGTTTTTAGTATGTCAGGGATAACGCCAGTATCTAGGCTTTGTCTCCACAGAATGTGAAGGGCCTGCGATAGTGGTTTTTTACAGTTCTTGATGAATATGGAGTTCCAAGAATCCGGGCCTGGTGCAGAGTGCATAGGCATACTGTTTATGGCTTCTTCAAAATCTAGTGGGGATAGGGCGACGTCTGATATGTGATTTGATGTTGGTATCATATCCATGAAAAATTCATTTGGGTTATCAATCTTTAGTGCATTTAATGGCTCACTGAAAACAGAGTCGTACTGCTTCCTCAGTAACTCGCTCATTTCTTTGTTGTCATCTGTGAAAGTTCCATCTCCCTTTCGCAGGGGCCCGATACTAGATGTGGTTTTTGATCTTGATTTTGTATAGGAGAAAAAATATTTCGGATTTCTCTCTATTTTTTATTTAGTTTACCATCAGCCACCCACCACCTTAGTCTACCATCAGCCACCCACCACCTTAGTTTACCATCAGCCACCCACCACCTTAGTCTACCATCAGCCACCCACCACCTTAGTCTACCATCAGCCACCCACCACCTTAGTCTACCATCAGCCACCCACCACCTTAGTCTACCATCTGCCACCCACCTCCTTATGCTGCCTGCACACCCACCCACCCACTATGCCAACCGTTTCACTTCTGCCTGCACACAATGACACCTTCCCAACCACTGCTGCCTGCCTATCCACCCACTTTGCCGCCCGCCCTGTTACTCATCCATCCACTCACTCTCACCTGCCCACCCACTCGCCCTCCACGTGTTCTTCCCTTACATGATCCTAGGGCTGGTGTTTCTGAAAGATTTTCTTTCCCCTCCCCCCCTCTCCCAAGCCACTCACCTGCCATCCATCCATCCATCCATCCACCCAATCCCCCTTCTGCCATCCATCCATCTAGCCACCCCCTATCCATCCATCCATCTAGTTCCCCACCACCATTCATCCATCCAGTTCCCCTCACCATCCATTCAGTTCCCCCACCATCCATCCATCCAGTTCTCCCTCCACCATCCATCTATCCATCCAGTTCCCCCACCATCCATCCAGTTCTCCCTCCACCATCCATCTATCCATCCAGTTCCCCCACCATCCATCCAGTTCTCCCTCCACCATCCATCCATCAAGTTTCCCCACACCATCCATCCATCAAGTTTCCCCCCACCATCCATCCATCAAGTTTCCCTCCACCATCCATCCATCAAGTTTCTCCCCACCATCCATCCATCAAGTTTCCTCCCACCATCCATCCATCAAGTTTCCCTCCACCATCCATCCATCAAGTTTCTCCCCACCATCCATCCATCAAGTTTCCTCCCACCATCCATCCATCAAGTTTCTCCCCACCATCCATCCATCAAGTTTCCTCCCACCATCCATCCATCAAGTTTCCCCCCACCATTCATTCATCCAGACTCCCTCCACCATCCATCCATTAAGCCCCACTATACATCCATCCATCCAGGTCCCCCCACATCCATCCACGTCCCCCCCCCCCAACATCCATCCAACCAGTTCACCCCACTATCCAGCCAGTTCACCCCCACCACCCATCCATCCAGTCCCCCTCACCATCTATCCAGTCCCCTCCCTCACCATCCATCCAATTCTCCCCACCAACTAACCATCCATCCATCCAGTCCCCTCACCATCCATCCTGTTGTCCTCCCAAATACAACATTCAAGCGCGATCGGGAGACACTGGTTAACAGAAGCGCACCTCGTCCATGCCACCAGGGACCACGTGCTTGGTCGACCGATATGTGTACCAACAAAGTTGCAAGGCAAGGCAAGGGTCATAACCCGATTAGAATTTTCTGAAGAAATTGAGCTCGTAACCTGGAAAAATCGTAAAGAGGGACATTCGCTACCCGAGGTTCCACTGTACATGATTAGTAACACTGAAGACTACAACTTGTTTTAATTACTGCTACAGTACTGAGTGATAATTACTGCTACAGCACTGAGTGATAATTATTGCTACATTACTGAGTGATAATTACTGCTACAGTACTGAGTGATAATTACTGCTACAGCACTGAGTGATAATTATTGCTACATTACTGAGTGATAATTACTGCTACAGTACTGAGTGATAATTACTGCTACAGTACTGAGTGATAATTATTGCTACAGTACTGAGTGATAATTACTGCTACAGTACTGAGTGATAATTACTGCTACAGTACTGAGTGATAATTATTGCTACAGTACTGAGTGATAATTACTGCTACAGTACTGAGTGATAATTACTGCTACAGTACTGAGTGATAATTACTGCTACAGTACTGAGTGATAATTACTGCTACAGTACTGAGTGATAATTACTGCTACAGTACTGAGTGATAATTATTGCTACAGTACTGAGTGATAATTACTGCTACAGTACTGAGTGATAATTACCTGTTTATTACTTAGGCAAGTAAATATGAGAAATGCTTTACAATTAGGCAAGAAAACTATTACTATCTCCTAAAATCCAAATAGTGCTTCAGTATACACTACTCAACCCCCACATGTGCTGTAACATATATAATGAAGGAGTTCCTCTACATCATAAGAAAAGGGAGTCACTGTGAGAGGCGAGACGTCAGACTGGTGGGAGGTTACTAGTGGTATCCCACAAAAGTTAGAATAGGAAGCTAATCCTATTCCTTATATAGGTGAACATAATTACACAAAATAATTACCTAAGTGTCACCTTAATTACCAGTTAATTAAGGTAAGTGCACAGTCCAGCTTCAGTATGCCTCAGTCAATAATTTTTCAGTATAAACCTGAACTATTAATTAAGGCCCATAAAACTCTTCATGTTAAAGGTATCACTAACTTGAATGCATCTCTTAATTAGTATCATTATATTTACATAATTTTTCTTTGAATTATTTTGGCCTTTACCCCATTAATGCATATTTTTCAAAGGCAGCTTCTAACCCTTGTTTTAGCTATATCCTCAGTGAGATAGCAAACCATTTCTACTAATTACTGGCGAGTAAAATTCTGTAAATGCCATTCCAATGTAAATGGAGAAATTACATACACAATAATGAAACATGATAATTGTAGAATAAGTGATGGATAAGGTTAAAGTAAGTTAAGGGGCCAAAGTGTGGAATGTCAAGATGCATAATGCATGCTCAATAAAATGTATACATGTTAGGGTAAAATCCAAGTTATCCAGGGTATGAAAGGATGAAGATAGAAGTTAAAACAATAGAAATGGTGAATGTATAGCAAAACAATTAATTCCCTTACAGCTTTCTCTGAATCAACTTTATTATTTACAAAATCCTCTAATCGTTCCCTGAGAGGTTGTGTGAATGTTTCTTGGTTGTCTCCACACATCTGAGTGAGCATGAGAAATCTCCGATGATTAGCAACCAGCTGACTGAAGCGATCACTGACAGCAGATGTGAGAGCTTGTACATGACCCATCCGGTTCTTGAGGCTTGTCAGCTCTTGAACAATTACTTCACTGAAAATGTCAATGAACTAAATAGTAGTCTCTACATAACATGCAACCCATTAAAAATACTGTACCTTACAATATACATAAAGAATTTCCATTTTAAAATGCAGTGCTTAAAAAATATCTACATTATGCAACTAAGACATACAGCTGTAACACACTCAGTTGAAAGCAATAAATGAAATATCACATCCATGAGCTGGCATCATAACATTTTACCCCAATTTTTAACAATGTATGTATTGTACTAGTATATTACATTTAGTCTATGAAACCAGCAATAAATGTAATGAAATGTCAATTTCTGGGTGAGCCCAGGTGGCTCCCTGAAGCTATCTCGCCGAGATTGCCTCTAACTACTGGATCGCATCACCTGTGGTGACGAGTTCTGCCTACGAGGACCAGTCAGAATCTGGCCCCCTCCCTCACAGAGGCACAGGAAGCAGGTGACACTTCACCACCTACCTACCTACCTACCTCTTGATGATTTTGGGGATCAGTGTCCCCATGGCCCAGTGTCTGACCAGGCCTCCTGGTTGCTAGATTGATCAACCAGGCTATTCGATGCGGCTACTTGCAGCCTGACATACGAGTCACAGCCTAGTTGATCAAGTATCCTTTGAAGGTGCTTGCAAAGCTCTCTTTTGAACACTTCAAGAGGTGCAAGAAGTTGGCCAATTATGCCCCAAATGTGTAGGGTAAGAGTGTTGAAAAGTCTTGGGCCTATGATGTTGATCGAGTTCTCTCTCAGTGTGCCAATTGTACCTCTGTATTTCAGAGGAGCTATATTGCACTTCCTGCCATGCCTTCTAGTCTCATGTGGTATTATTTGTGTGTGCAGATTTGGAACAAGTTCTTCTAATGTGTTAAAGATGTAAATTATTATGTATCTCTCCCAACTGCACTCTTGCTAATACAGATTTAAAATTTTTAGGTGATCCCAGATGTTTTAGACGAGTGGATGAGTTAGATGTTTTAGTGAGTGGATTCTAGCAGTAAAATAACTTTGCATGCTCTTCAGGTCATCAATTTCTCCAGCTTTGAATGAAGCCATTAGTGTGCAACAATATTCCACTTTAGAGAGCACTAACATCTTCAAAAGAATCATCATTGGTATGGCATCTCTTGTTTGGAAGGTTCGTGTTATCCAATGTGTCATTTTTCTTGCAGTTGTGACAGCAACTTTGTTGGGTTCTTGAAAAGTAAGGTCTTCTGACATGATTACTCCTAAATCTTTTACATTTTTTCTTTAAATAGTGTAATTTGACTGCATTTTATATGGCTTCAGCTTACATGTTTTTGTTTTCTCATAGCATAGGAATTGGAAATTATCCTCATTAAACATTATGTTACTTTCTGTGGCCTATTGAAAGACTTGATCAACATCAGAGTGGAGGTTTGCTGTGGCCTCACCCCAACTAATGGGAGGAAAGTGCTAACACGCTTGCGCTTGTCTTGGGAGATTCAAGTGTTTACATTGTTGGGGGAGTTTTGTTGGGCAGTTTTGAGGCTATGGTCTCTCTGAACCCAGCTGTGGTCTGTATTGGTTCACCGACTTTCTGGATGCTTTCTCAATGGGGGCGGCAGAGTTTCATCTGCTCTCTGTGCCTCTGAGAGGGGGACGGCAGAGTTTCATCTGCTTCTCTGTGCCTCTGAGAGGGGGGCGGCAGAGTTTCATCTGCTCTCTGTGCCTCTGAGAGGGGGGGTGGCCAGGTTCTGGCGCTGGTCTGCAGGAGGCCAGACAGATCTTCCTGGCTGATGTGACCTAGTATCCCAGTAAGATAGCTTCAGGGAGCCACAAGGGCATCCCCCAAGAAAAGATAAAATAAATTGTTGCTTAATTAAATAAGGCACATAAAAACTTGTAATAATTCAAAATAGAATACTTACATAAACATAAGAACACTGTACTCTATAAGGTGAACACATTTTGAGAAATAGTCAATTTTGCGCTTCACAGCATGACCAACGGAACACATGGATTTCCCAACAGCAGCATCATGCTCCACACTAACCAAGGCCGGAAAACTGCCAAATTTCACAGCTGTTCATGAGTTAATAATTTATAATTAGTTACCAAAAAAAGCATCCAGCATTGACTGTAATTAAATGTCTCTTTCTGATAGGCCACTTTGGTGGCTCCCTTAGCTACCTGGTTAGCTTCAAAACTAATTTATGAAACTACACCTTATGAATCATTAATTGCCACAAAGCACACCAAAACAAAATCTTGTCCACTCAATAAATGTAAGTGAGTTGGGAGATACTAAATCAAACTAGATCTAGAGGAATAACCACCACAAAGGTAGAGCACTCCAAACAAGCAACTGCATACACAAATATTGGAAACTCTGACAAACTATGTACACAATTGTTAGCCAGCCACAACCCATAGTTAGGGGTTGTGGCTGCCATCTTCCAGCCACTAGATAGCGGCCCCAGCAACTCAGGACTCTAGGCAGCTGACCACCTCAGATCTGCACTGCTCAAAGATGATCTCATACACTACCATGGGTGAGGCCCCCTTGAGAGGAGGCAACCTCAAGGGGCAAACATGAAGCCTCCCTGGGAATGAAATCCTGACAAAAAAACCAGTGTTGAATGTAATGAAACGCCATTTTCTGGTTGAGTCCCGGAGGCTCCCCGGAGCTTACTAGGCTGATATGCTAATGTCAGACTTTGGCATCAGTCATGTGTATGGAGTTCTTATGGGCCTACTGGGGACCACGAGCCAGAACCTGGCCCCCCTCTAGAGAGGCAAGGGTAGCAATGGCCTATAGAAACCCCCGTGTAATTTCTAAGCATTCTATGTCTGCCATCGACCGAGTTAGGCACCCAGAAAGGTAGGCGTCCCAAAACAAACCCCTATTCTGGTGAAAATTGCAACCAAAAGCCGAACGAGAGGATAGAACTCCACAAACAAAAACGAGCAAACTAGTATGACGTCATCCGTCATTGCACCGCTACCTGCGTAGCCCCCCATCCCTCCCCGGGAGGGGGAAGGGGCAGCCCAGACCTACCGCGCCGGCGATCCACACCCCAGTTCTAAGGCTGGATGTCAAAAACATGCGAAAAAACTCCAACCGGAGGGAGGGAGGGATGCCGGGGAGCCTCCGGGACTCGCCAAGAAAATGGAGTTTCATTACATTTAACGCTGGTTTTCTGGGGAAGCCCCTACGGCTCCCTGGAGCTAACTACCCACAGAGGAAAAGAATAGGGACTTAACCATAGGCGGTTGCTGCTCATTGCTCAACCCGAAGTCGAGACAACTGGCTGCATCCGCCGACCCAAAGTGACACGGGCCCGACCGGGCCCAGCAACGTTTATAAGGTAACGAGCAGCCAGGACCCTGTTTGACCACCAAAATCCCCGTGCCCGAATGTCAGCCCAGGACATATTGCATAAGATGGCAGCTAGAGCCGCAAACTTGTGGACGTCATGGGCACGGGGATAGACCGCAGGCCGGCTAGCCTTAATAATCCTGTGGACGACCTGGGAGACCCGCACCCTCCAACAGGGAAGAAGAGAAACTGGATCAACCCAAAGCGCATCCACGAACACAGAAGTCGTGGCGTGCAAATAACAGCGGAGAGCCGCAACCGGACACAAAACATGATGCACCCCTGGCCAAACCAACCAAGCCCAACTAACCCCTGCCCCGACTCCGAAACCCTCAGACGTTTCGGGGCCGGAAGCAGGGAAAGGGGGACCAGAATGAACAACAGGAGGGAAAGGACCAGGAGGTGTGGACTGAACCAAGCACGTTGCAACAACCGAAACCTAGAATGCAACGCCTGTGCAGCCTGTACCCGAAGATGATCATCCATAGATTGGAATAAATTGAGTCACCAGCAAGCAACAATACTCACAGAGAACATTCCAGAGAACAACATAGAGCACATAGAGGTGTCTAGAGACAAAGTGGAAAAAATGCTCAAGGAGCTAAATAAGAACACAGCAGTTGGTCCAGATGGAGTTTCACCATGGGTTCTGAGAGAATGTGCACCTGAGCTCAGCATTCCTCTTCAACCGATTTTTCGGGCATCCCTGTATACAGGAGTTGTAGCTGATGTGAGGAAAAAGGCTAACATAGTTCCAATCTACAAAAGTGGAAGCAGGGAAGACCCTCTTAATTATAGACCGGTATCATTGACAAGTGTAATAGTCAAAATATTGGAAAAAATAATTAAAACTAAATGGGTAGAACACCTGGAGAGAAATGATATAATATCAGACAGACAGTATGGTTTTCGATCTGGGAGACCCTGTGTATCGAATTTACTCAGTTTCTATGATCGAGCAACAGAGATATTACAGGAAAGAGATGGTTGGGTTGACTGTATCTATCTGGACCTAAAAAACCAGCGTTGAATGTAATGAAACGCCATTTTCTGGGTGAGTCCCGGAGGCTCCCCAGAGCTATCCATGGCTGATATGGATACCCTAACTATTTTGCATCAGTCGATGTGGGTGGAGTTCTAGGCCTACCGGGGACCACGAGCCAGAACCTGGCCCCCTCAGAGAGGCACGGGGAGCAATGGCCCATAGAAATGCACATGTGATTTGGAGCATTCTATATCTGCCATCGACCGGGACAGGCACCCAGAAAGGTAAGCGCCACAAAACAAACCCCTATTCTGGTTAACAACAAAAATCGATAAACGAGTGGACAGAACTCCCCAAGGAAAACGAACTAACAAGCATGACGTCACACGAGCCGCGCCGCATGTCTGCGCAGCTCTCCCCTCCCCGGGAGGGGGAAGGGGGAGCCCCAGACCCCCGCGCCGGCGATCCCCACCCCAGTTCTGAGGCTGGATATCAAAACCGCGAAAAACCCCGCCGAGGGCGGGAGGGTGCCGGGGAGCCTCCGGGACTCACCCAGAAAATGCCGTTTCATTACATTCAACGCTGGTTTTCTGGGGGGAGCCCCTACGGCTCCCCGGAGCTACCTCACCAAAGACTACCTAAGAAAACAAGGGAACATACCCGGGAGGCGGTCGGTGAATCACTCCTCAACATGAAGTCGAGACAACAACCCAATGTATAGCAATCGCCAGAAAAAAGGGAGAACGGCCGCAGACGAAGAAACCTATGATCACGACCATAGGAGCCAAAAACACTGCGCTTGAGAAGAGCAAGAAGCTCTGCACACGACCCCCAGAGGCGAATGCCAACACAAAAAGAAAACCGAGGCAAAGCAAACCTGACCCCAAGGAGCCACAACCAAGGAGAAGAAAAACAGGAGAGCACCCTGTCCAAAGACCAGGACGACACAGGCAGTGCATAAGCAGGCCGGAGGTGTAACAACGCAAGACACAACCTGCGAAACGGCGCAGAAGGAATATCGATACCAAAGGCTAGCAGCAGAAACCAAGGTGCCAGACCCAGGAACGGTCCCAAGCGCCTCTACAACCTCCGCAAGCCAACCCTATGACAGCCCCAGGAGGGAAAAGAAAACGCAGGACCAAAACGAAAATGCCACAAGTGTGCAAGTCCACCTCCACAAGTGCAGCTGACAGGGAAGGAACTCGCATAAGGAGCCGCCCCGCAGCAACATCCCGCAGAAGGGCAGGAGCGAAAAGACTCATTAAGAGGAGCAAAATCGCTCCCAGGAAAACTAGGAGCGCCGAGACAGTGTGAAGAGAAGAGATATTCACAAAAGAACAAAAAGGCCAACACCCAGAAGCTGCCGGGAAGAGGACCCACAAGCCCTAGAAAGGCCCGGAGGGAAGCCCAACCGAATGACGCTAGACACAGCAGAAAACGGGCACAATGGACAAGGAACCGATCCCAGGGAGGGGCCGACGCCCACAAAGCACGTGCGGAGGGGGGAACGGAAAACCCCACACCACAAAACTGCAAGTCCCTCCCAGAGGGGTAGAAACACCCCGGCGGGGACCAACAGGGCCCGAGGCCCCTCACGTGAGCCCCACCGCAGCCCCGGGAACCCACCCTGCAGGCCCGGGACCGAGCTGTCCTCTCAAAGCCCCAGCGTCAAGAAAAACCCTGGGCAGCCGTGAAAAACACGAAGGAAGGGAGCCCACTAGGCTCTGGAGCCGAAACCGGAGGATAGGCGAGGGGCGAGACGAAGAACCCCAAGCTCATCCCCAGCCAGCACAATGAGGCGAGGACAAGACAGAGAATCCAAGGAATATGGAAAAACCAGGCCCGGCACAGCAAGACCGGCAAGGAGGAGAGCCCCAGAGGGAGCACGGAAGGGCCGAACATAACGCCACAACCAACTCAGACACGCAGCTGCAGTACCAAAACCGCAGCAAAACGTCACCACACTCCCACAGGAAGCGACAGAAAAGATAGATAAATCGTACACGAGTCGCACACAAGGGGACACAGGCGGAAACCGAGCACCCAACTGAGCCACAGGGACGGTAGAAGAAACGTGTGCAGTGTAACAGGCAATCAAAGGAACACAGTAGGCAGCCCAACATGGGCTGACCCCATACACAGCCCCAAGAGCAGAGATGAGAGTGCCCAAGAAGCACAGAATCCGCCCAACAGGCAAACGACAGGGGAGAGGCGGAAACAAAGAGCCAGAACCCAACCAGCAAGCACAAGGAGGCGAACACAAAACCTCCAACACAGGAAAACGTACTACCAAACAGGCACCCCCACCGTTGCACTGCTGAACAAGGTGGAGGCAGGACCCTGAACTCAAGCTAGGTTAGACAAGCATAGGAGAGGGGCAGGAGGAGTACAGGCAGGAACCGCCTCGGAAGGGACAAGAGGCCACCTGCAGACACCCGTGAACCGAGGAAGGAATCAGGTGGAGAGAACAAGAGCTGCCCAGTATGGGCTAATAGCCCTGCAGTAGGCACCTCGGGTGATACGGTCCACGTTCTCAAGGACGTATGTACACCCATTCCTACTCCCAAAAATAAAAACAGCGTCAGGATGAAGGAGATGCCAAAACCGCTCCAACTCACCTGCAGAACATAGGCACTGAAGGGCCATGACGCAAGCGTTCGAATCCGTATCCGCCGGAGGCGGCCAGTGCGCCCATGCTGGAGAGGAGGGGAGCAGGGA